TGAATTTGAATTTAATCGACCGTAACGCTGACAATACCCACGCACTGAAGTAGCGGCTTCCCGTCGACACACAATTGTACCATAAGTACGCGTGCAACGCGCAAGGCACGTGGCCCACGTCATGGACACATTGCGTGGGGGGAAAGCTCAGTATCCATCAAAACAAATGTCGAGTTTCCCCTTAAAATACTCAGTTTTCGGGCTCAAATTTTACCCTAATACGAGCCTCCTTCCCAAATGTACCTGTCGTTTTGACGCTTGTTGGACTTACATTGTCGAGCGATGGCAAAATTTATGCTATTTCCGAGACCAACCGGCCGGATTTTTGATGCCGGCGCGGTGGGGCCATTTTCCGTGGGTTTATAGGACGCCACCAAGTGGTGTGGTAGTTTGCAGGCTTACCAACAGAAAAGAAAATCGCCAAATATTTTTCGGTAGCAATAAAAATAAGTTAAAGCTAAAAAATTAAGGGAAAACATCAAACAAAACAATAAAACCGCCTACAGCACAAACATTAAAGAAAACGTTGGTAAAGTGTGGAGCAAATCAGCGGGAAAAGTTACATTTCCCAAATCAACGAATTGCAAAACTGTGATGCCACTTCCCATAAGTGGAGCAAAATCGTTTGGGCTTTAATTTGAAGCACCGACGTTGAAGTTATTGAAAAAGATATAAAAACGCCCGAGAATACATTGCGTTGGCTTATGGTAAAGTAAATTAAGCAATGAGGGAAAACTTCAACTATTGGGCACTGATACACACCGGCATATAGATGGCTAGGTTTCGAGATGGACTTTGTTACTGTTTTACTTGCAAGTTTCTGCTCCTGGAATGAAGAAATGATTTTTGTGTACGGCAAAGTGCATTCTACGGGGACTGTGACCGGGGCGAGGGGTCTCCGGTTTGGGGCGTGAGATTACACATACAGGTCGAGTTCAGGCGGCCTGTTCTTGACACGAGTTTCGTGTTCTCGCTATCGAACGACGGGAACATGACCCAAGAACACCGTTCTCGGAACAGGATCACACACGTACCACCTTCTTATAAGGGTTTTACACGAACACGCGGAAAAACTCGCGAGATTTGATTTTTGAAAACCTGCAAAAACTATCGAGATGGCTTACAAAGCTGGAGACAATGGAATTTTTGCAAAATTAATATTAATAATTAACCATGACAGAAACGATTTTTTAATGGAAAAAATGCAGCCTAGTTGCCCAAACATTAACTCTCGAAGAATGCACAACTTAGGACGCCGCCATGTTGCTTGCATGCTACAAGTAACTAGTAGCGATAACCGGTTGTACGGTTCCCGGCGTTTGAGCGGCCGTCCCACCGTGACGAACAAATCGAGCAGGTCGTGAACACCCGCAAAGCCACCCAAACTCAGCCACAGACGGAGGCCGGGGTAAAGTGCGAAATTCGGGTTACACACATTATCTTCAACATCGCCAACGCGTGAACCTTAGCTACGATCTATCTGTTTTAATACAAACCTTCTGTGCCACACCTTTGTGTCTCAGTTATAACCTTCAATTCTCGACTTTTGTTTCACTGTTGAAGTGTCTTTTGCTGCCTTTTGGGTTTCACGCTGATGAGTATTTCCATGCATGAGCAAAAACGTTTGATGTCGTCCCAGGAAGAAAGCCTAATGTTACATTCGTTCGTGCGCAAACAAAACATGTAATTTTTTTTATAGATTTTTGCTCGACTAAAATTTAATTTTCTCTCCGTGGTCGATACCGTTTTGATTTAACAGTGAAAAAAAAACAGCATGGGGGTCGCTCAATAAGACAAACCACAAATCTATTGCTTAGTGAGCAAAAAAGAATCTGTCGGTGGCATGGAATAACTTGAGTTGAATACATCTAGAATAGTTATCGTCACGGCTGTTGGCAGAAAGTCTGTTTTCATCATGACACTGACAGTTAGTATAAGGCATTGTCACGGCTATAGTATTCATATTATGAAGTTAATACGACGAAAATTACGAAACTAAATTAAGGTACTTTAAAAGCATTCTAAAAGCATACCTGCCACGACCCCTCATGTGCATACTCTATAAAAATGTCAGGTCGAAGGGAAATCACGATACGGAATTCCAGTAGGCCCAAAATAAAAAAACATCTTCTGTTCTGAAGTTGTTAGCGTCTGTTGCTACGGATAGCACTGCGCGTGTACACTTTGGTGACAGAAAGGGGTTCAAGGTCCACCCCTGCTGGTAACCGTAAGGCTTTGTTGCGCAGTTAGTGCAGGGGAGCCAGTGAAAGACTGCTTTCTGTGGGGGAACTTGTTGCTATGGACAACGCACTCATTTAAACATTCGATAAGGCGACTTTTGACCTCATAACTGCCACAGAGGAAGACTGCTGCCTGAGTCAATGCGCGTGGGTTTACTATCAACTACAGTAAACTGAAGGTAGTGTTTGCACTTCCAACATGGGCTGGACAGTTATGGCCGGCGGTGAGTCAGTGCAGTTGAACACTGCACATTCCAAAAATATTCAACCTGGCCGGTTAACTTAAAAACTGTTTGGAGCGTCCATCTTTTCAATTTTCAAGTTTTTTTCAAGGAAGGACGCATGGGTCAAGTGGAAACACCGTGACGTACCATTTGAAAAATCGAAACTTTATAAAAACACGTTCATACAACTCATCGTTGATGCGCACATGGAGCTATAAAAAGGATAGCTCCATGATGCGCCGTATGAGTTTTGTGCAAATATCTCTTTTTTTTTACATTTCATTCAAATCTCTGTCATTTTCTCTTGGACCTTGTCCTCATTTGGTATCCAGTAATTACTTGCTCGGGCGTTCTTGTACCTGTGCATTCACACACATTTAATACCCCCGGTACGGTTACCGGAGGACTACACCAACACTTTTGCACTGGTGTTAAAACTGTCAGTGTTATTTGGTGTTACTTTTAACTTTCTAGTGTACTGTAACACCTATAGATAAAGTAACATCAGCAGTGTTAAAGTAACACCCTTAGATGTGGTCATCTGAAAACACCAAACAATGTTGATTTTAACACCAAAGTTTTTGCAGTGCACGTAGTACAATGAACGATAAGTCACCGTTCCACTTCTTGCAGAAGCAACTCCAATCTACAAGTTGCTACCTCTCTTGTCAGTTTGGAGCCACTCATGCAATCACCGGCTCAAATGATTCCCACCGTTTTTTATTGGCCACATTACTCGGAGGCAGACGGCAGAGGGCAGCAAGCATCTTCAGAGGCAGAGAGACGCACTACATGTAAGTGCAGATTTACGTAACGCAACAGAGCGAGCCGGTCGATGAGCAGACTGTTTGGCCACAGCACCGAGGCACTGCATCCCCCAAGAAGAGACTGAACCACGGCACAAAACTCCATCGTCTCGAAGACCGACCCGGCGCGCCTTTCATGACGAACTTACAGATGCAACGCACTCACTGAAAAATGAACTGCACACGTTCAAAGTAAAAGCTTCTCTATAAAGTATTACAGAAAAAACCCAACAACATTTATACCCATAAGAACATTGCGTATTTAAAGCATTCTAAAACATTTTTTGGTTTCGAACAAATAAATGTGGAATAATAATTTCAGTTCGGTGGAAGTTCTGAACGACAACAGCAAACCCGAAAGACCTGGAATTACTGCCACTGCGATGCACGTAAATTGGGTAAATTTACTCACTCTGGAATCGATCCTTAATGTAAAAACTAACTAGACATAGAATCAGCGAAGCCTTTCTCTATGAACAATTGCTTTTTGTCCGGCTGTGTGAAGTGATGCATGTAAAATGAGCAGCGGGAAAGGTCACAAAGGACAAGAGTCATTAATCACGATTAGCTGTGTGCCGCTTGAATTTTGCCGACTCGGAGGATGGATCTGACTAGTGAAAATAAATAAAAGACAGGTCCTATCAACCACTGCTTCCAAAGTTTAGTCCACCGAACCACAAATTCTGCCATTTCTTTGCACTCAGAAATATACGCATGCAAATTAGCCCAAAACGGCGGTTTACGTGCTTTTAAAAATGGCTAACTATTTGCTGAATATCTAGGAATAAGCTTATTAAAAGAACAAGATCAAGAAATGTTAAAACGCTGATGGAAGTCAGTCATAATCTCATAATCGATGTTTTATACAGTCCTACCTTGCTAGTTCTACAATACTAATTAAATTTTGTTGGTTTAAATTTTAGATGAACTGAAGGCTCATTTAAATACCCTTTATTTTTTGTGGTAATGCCTGACCTCAGGAAGGAGTACGGCAAGGTTGGCAGGTCTGAAAACGGCACATTCGAAAAACGCCCTTTATTGTAGGATGTCATATGAGCAAAAACCCTCTTTAAAGGATCCATGAGAAGAATTTTTCTCAGAATCACTTTTTGTGTATCTCTGTACTCTTCTTCCATGTATGAAGACTGTTTGACATCTTTTTTGCGTTACGTGAACTAAAAAGTGCACTTTTTAAACATTCGAAATTGACCAAAGCATTTCTGGACGGATGAGGGCGCTTTTGCTTTGATGTAAATCCAGGAAGACTGGTTCAGTTAGCATGTTTTCATGTTCAAATTGTGAACTCCAAATTTGCTATCGGAAAAAACATTTCTGTGGAAAGGTGGCTTGCTGGATTATTGCCATATACTTGCGCAACAAGAAAAGGAAATGAAATCTACGATAGCAGTGTTTAAAAAAAATTTTCTGTGCAGAAATTGGCCCAACACTGAGATTCAGCGCCTTGGATGACGTCGTCATTTTGCTTATGAATATGCAAAAAAAATGGGTTAAAATTACACAACCAAAATTTAAAATAAGGTTAATTGAAACCCAAAGGTGCAATTTAATGGGATTTAAAAAAATATTTCTATTTCATGGTCCCTTTCAGCAGTGTTACTGTGTATATACGCCATTGACATTGAAATTTACCAGAGAAAATGTGGCCTATATGCCCTCGTCTTTTGTCGGCGTGCCTGTTGTCGGCGTAGCTACACAATATCTACCCGCACACATACACACCCACACCACCACGACGAGGGGCAGAAGGCGGAACTTCCGTGCACATCTATGCATCTTTGCCTCTGCCGGTCGTACGTATACAAACATGCATATGTAGAGCTCACCATTCATGTACAGCCTAATGATATAGGCCTATTACTGAGCTCGCCATTTTGTTTAAGGAGTCATTCTGGTACACTTGCTCTCTGGCTTAAAACTCCGGCGTTGGAACCTGTCTCATCACGGTAGATGAAACACTAAGGTGTGATCATGGCCACATCAAGTGTGTTACGGACCACAGACGACTTCGACCCCCAAAAAGTAGGGGATTGGTGTGATCGGAATTCTGTCCATGACTTGTCCAACGAAGTCCGGAAGGGAGACCTTTTGGAGTTTGACTGCAAGAAGCCCTTCGGCTGGGCTGTATGTACTTCTCGATCGGAAGATAACGTGCAAGTCGTCTTCTACTCCTCCTTCGAAAAACTTTCCGATGGCACGTTGGTCACGGTGCTCGACACCCGTCGCGTGCGAATCAACAACGCTATAGTCCACCTTCAAAGCCTGTCAGATTACAACGGCTTGGAGAACAACAGGCTGCAGGTCATCTCCCACTTCCTTGGCAACAGGTCACTGAATGACTTTATATTTAACCGGATAAACAATTGTGAACGTTGGGCTGATACCTCCGTGGTAGAGGTCCTAGTAGTTTTGGCACGAGTACTGTTATCGTCCCTGGAGTTAATATTAGGTAAGAACCGCAATGACAGCATTTTGGGTCACGTGTACTGGGTACTCGTTCTGCCAATGCCGTTAACACCCCTTCCATCAGTCTTTCTGCTTAAGGGCAATAGAAGACGCTGCGCCATTCGCTCTGCAACACTGGAAAAATTAATTTTATAGCATCAAAATTATCCAAATTGGTTTAACTCCCTCCACTGTACAACAGTTAACACGATTCAGATTTGACGTAGGCCTATATGATTTAGCACTGAATATAACACTGAGTTCGTTCTAAACCCAGCACATTTTTTCGTGATTTAAGATTTTGCAAGGAGTCATCTGCCACATCAGCAGACCGACGTCGGGAACATCGGAGAAAAGACCACATGGTACAGTAAGGACCAGATCGATGACTTGATGTCCGCTGTGTGCTTTGGTGACAGGCTGCAGTACGATCGCAAAGGACCCTACAGGCACTGGGGCGTGTGCATTGGTCGATTGGGAGGCGAACTGCTGACTCTTCACTTCTCTCCTCGCGGAACTGGGCTGAAGTTTGCGACGAAGAAGGTCTCCAGTAGCGCGTCGTATGCCAAAGACAGCCCCCAGTTCCGTGTAGACGCAGCCGGGAGACCCATCAGAACCGTGGGGTGAGGATCAATAATAAAAAAGACACCGAATTCCAACCGCTAGAGGCGGGAGCCATCCTCCACGAAGTCCTATCCCATCTGCTTAGGAAAATCCTTTTCGACAAGCCCAAGTTCAGTACCTTCAGTAACAACTGCGAGCACTTCGCGAACGAATGTCGATACTCCGAGCACCACAGTGATCAAGTACCAGCACCTGGAGGTGAGTGGGCTCTTTGTAAATGGTTCTGGTATCACCCATAAATTTGTGTGCCAAGTTGTTCCATAATGCACCGCGATATTAATGATGTTTGCGATTCCTAACCCCAAGATATGGGCCCTTTTCCAATACTCGACTTGGGCTCCGTTCAGGTTTCGTTCCCAAAACCAATCCCCGATTGTGGGCCTGAAGCGTTTAAATTAAATTGGATTAATACTTTGATTTCTGGCTCTCTTGCATCTTATTTGATGTTTTGTGGCACTATTAAACTAATTACTGCGCTTAATTACGGAGCCTGAGACGGAGCCGAAGCTGAGTATTGGAAAACGGCCATATAGTCATAGCGGCTGTGCAGCAAATGTGTTGGGTGATTATGAGTGCGATACGTGCAACCGATTATCGAGGATACTCACTCTCTTGTTTAAACGCGAAAAAAACATGGTTCGTTCCGATCACTTCAGCAATCACGGCAATTAGCGAGAATAGAAAGAATATTTTAACGTATACTCGTAAAATGCGCAGGACGAATAACTGGAGATAGGCCCCCTATGTATATTTCAAATGAAGCAAGTGCAGGAGTACTATCCATTTCCATTCACTGCAATGTTCTCTGTGTGACAGATTGCTACCGTAACATTTTGAAGAACTTGAAGCGCCTCGTCCTGCGGGATTCGCCTGAAACTCAGTGACGACAGCTGGAGTTGTGGAGATGCTGAGAAACTCATACAACTTAAAAGCTTTGTATGATTAGAACTGTGGGGGACGGTTTTCAAAGTGGGGGGGGGGACTGGAGTACTTATATCCAAAGGCGGCAACTTTTTTGCTATTAATTAAAGGTCATATCAGTTTCATCTATGCTTCTGTTCTTTCTGAACTTCACCGAGAATCATCGGTAAGCCGTTTATACAGCCTAAATCAAAGCTTTGATAAAACACCTGAACTTCAGAAATCGAAACCTCTCACATTATTTTTAAAAGACTCATTGCTTGTGCTATAGAAGATGGATCTGGGGCTAGGGCCTATACGTTGAACTGGATTGTCCCAAGTCAGGGTTGTCACGTCGAAATAAATGAGCCTGGTGCTGACCTTACAGTCGAAGTAGAAGTATGAAAAACGCCCAAGACTGATAATACCATACAGCTTAATATCTCGAAGCAGTTCCATTTATCTGCGGCACAGGATTAAGACTAAAAGAACGGGTTTTTTTCAGGAGTTGAACCTTTAAGACTCAATTTTTAGACTGGGTAACTCTTTGCGGTCATTTTGACACCATTTTTGCAAAACTCGAACATACCGCTCTTGCTCAGGGCGCTTTTGCCCGAGACGGGTCAGCCAAAAATGTATACATTTTTCCGCTGGTACTCATGAACTTCAGATGACCGTAACAAAACCCATACGTTCGATGGATTTCAAACTTCACAATTCACAGTTGTGATGATTAGTGCCTGAACATACTTGCCGTCTTTCCAAAAAAATCGGGCGTGGCACAGCTGAATGGGGGGGGGCAGAATCCGCCCCAGCTGCATGTTAGATGGGATCTTTTAGGGTTAATGCTAATTTGGCACTTAGCTTGTGATGTGATGTTAGTGAAACTCAACCGGCCCTCTAAGAATGTTATTTCAATGAAACAAGGTTATCTAAAAAATGACGACAATTATTCAGTATAATCATATGAGTAGGCGTATAGGGCCTATCCCAAGGCTACATAGCGTACTGATAATCCCGAATGAATAAGCTATTGCGCCCACTATTTTGCATATAAGTAGTTACCGAACTGGTACTTTAAGTACTTGTGTCCCAACATGTAACACACACGAGTGACACAATTGCGAAGAGGTTCTCGAAACGTTATAGTCTTGGTAGACTATTTTTATTCTGTATCCGTGGCAAAGGCCAAAGTCTTCTTTAAATTGGTGTGGATTCTGAGTCAATCAGCGGTTCGTTTTGGATTCAGTACTTTCAAATCAATTAAGGGCGCTGCTTTTGCATCGGAATTCTGTGGGACTTTTCATAACCCGAGCAAATAACTGTGTAGATGAATAACAAAGACATGGAATGATACAATATGCTGTCTGTTTGAATGTATTTTGTAATATTTTAAATAGGCTGAGAAGCACATTTGTAAAGTATGGATTTACTACAAGATAAGGTGAAATTTAACCACATTTGTAAAGTATAGATTTACTACTAGATAAGGTGAAATGTCAATGTGAAGCAGCATGACGCCTTTGTGAATTTATATTCACATGCCTGGACACTAATTAAATGCGATTGTTAAGCAAAACTTTCGAGTATCTGTTATTCGTTTCCAAGCTTTTCCAGTTAAATTCTCTCTAAACTAGCCTTTGCATGGCAATGAATGCATTGTCTACGGGCTAAAGCTATGTATATGAAGCTAAAATGCTCTTTATTAATATGCATGTCTGAGATACTTCCTTGAGCTGGTCGTGAACTGTGTATGATACTGCCCTAAAATAAAACAAACAAAAAACACCCCAACACCCCGACAACCGACCAACCGACCATCCGACCAACCGACCAACCGACCAGCCGACCAACCGACCAGCCGACCAGCCGACCGACCAGCCGACCGACCGACAGCCCAACCAACAAAAAAGAAAACAAAAATTACTGGATTTAACCCCAACTATAATGTTTAATGAAATATGGAGGTGCTGCGTGGCACCGTGATCAGAATATCGACAAGAATATAATATCAAATCAGTGCTCTGAAAATACGTGATTGCCGAGCTTTCGGTAACTGAGTACCTCCTTCAGGGCAAGCAGATTCAGTTCTGAATGAACGCGGAGTAATCCACGTTCATTCCCCCTGGATTTATGGTCGACCTATAGCCCAATACATAGATTTTTCAACCCCCCCCCCAAAAAAAAACCCCGAAAAGTAAAGGAAAGAAAAAAGACAAAGAAACAGTCAAATTCTATTCCGGTGTGAAAAGAATCCTTGATACTGCACGGTTTGGCCGATAACCTGATTTCACGAAGGTTGTCCTTTTGATCCTAGGAGCCTAGGGCGGATCCTGCCACCCTGCACTTTCAGGGTTAAATGCCGCTTTAATCAATATGGTGTATGACGTCATCATATAGAAACCTTCGGTAATGGAATCTCATCAGGTTTGTCCAAATGTTTTCATATTCTGGACACGAATTACGAAATCACGCCCGCGCATTTCGTATTTATAAGCACAAAAATGAGTCAGTTATCCGAACAAACTGGGGAAACCGGTACCGGGGTGAGAGTGTCAACCCGAAATCATACGCACCTGCTATTCCTTGCATAAAAAGAATAATAACCTGCCCCTTACACATTGTTGGCCTACTTCGTATATGAAAAAGCTACGTTTTGCGACGCATGGACCATGTTAATGATTGATTTTATGCACCTCCGGTTGACCTTTGAACATGAGCGGCAGTGCGAAAAGACCGCGCTCTGAACGACATCATTGCACTAAAGTATGTGCTTACGTATGGAACGCCAAATGTACCAATTTATAATGTTGTCGTCTATCTATTTATGTGAGCTTGTCAATCTGTTATGAGATGTTGTCAGTCCATGATTCAATGTTATCCATCCATAATGTGGTGGTGTCAAATTATTGTTTGATTTTGTCAATCTATTACGTGAAGTTCTCAAATATGCCGTATTGTCTGGAACGATCCAAACAATCACAAATGAATCATTCATCAGAAAGTGAGAGTACTAAAATTTTAACTTTTACTGTTACTAGATTAAACCACGTAATATCGATAGGAGGCAGAAGATTGAAATTGGCACATTACGTATTTATATATATATATATATATATATATATATATATATATATATATATATATATATATATATATATATATATATATATATATATATATATATATATATATATATATATATATATATATATATATATATATATATATATATATATATATATATATATATATATATATATATTGTATATATATANCCCAACCAACCAACCAACCAACCAACCAACCAACCAACCAACCAACCAACCAACCAACCAACCAACCAACCAACCAACCAAACAACCAACCAACAAAAAAGAAAACAAAATTACCAGCTTTAACCCCAACTATAATGTTTAATGAAATATGGAGGTGCTGCGTAGCACTGTGATCAGAATATCGACAAGAATATAATATCAAATCAGTGCTATGAAATACGTGATTGCCGATCTTTCGGTAACTGAGTACCTTCTTCAGGGCAAGCAGATTCAGTTCTGAATGAACGCAGAGTAATCCACGTTCATCCCCCCTGGATGCAGCGCTCCAAGTTCGGAAATACCACAGCGACGACATGTAGCTGTAAGCGCAGTAATTAGTTTAATAGTGCCACAAAACATCAAATAAGAACCAAGAGAGCCAGAAATTACAGTAATCCAATTTAATTTAAACGCTTCAGGCCCAAAATCGGGGATTGGTTTTGGGAACGAAGCCTGAGACGGAGCCCAAGTCGAGTATTGGAAAAGGGCCTTGGTGACCGCTTCGCGGAACACTTGCGCAGTGTGCGCCAACAAACACCTGGTGTCACTGTTGCGCAGCACTTTTGCGCGCCGCCACATACCCTCGGTGACGTAAGCGTCTGCATCCCGCGGAAAGCAACTGAGGCAGCGCGTCATTTTCGAACTTGGAACGCTGCATCCAGGGGGAATGAACGTGGATTTTTCCGCGTTCATTCAGAACTGAATCTGCTTGCCCTGAAGAAGGTACTCAGTTACCGAAAGCTCGACAACCACGTATTTCAGAGCACTGATCTGATATTATATTCTTGTCGATATAATGTTTAATGGTACTGATTAGGCCTAACACCGATTTTATGGTCGACCTATAGGCCAATACATAGATTTTTCACCCCCCCCAAAAAAAACCCGAAAAGTAAAGAAAAGAAAAAAGACAAAGAAACAGTCAAATTCTATTCCGGTGTGAAAAGAATCCTTGATACTGCACGGTTTGGCCGATAACCTAATTTCACAAAGGTTGTCCTTTTGATCCTGGGAGCCTAGGGCGGATCCTGCCACCCTGCACTTTCAGGGTTAAATGCCGCTTCAATCAATATGGTGTTATGACGTCATCATATAGAAACCTTCGGTAATGGAATCTCATCAGGTTTGTCCAAATGTTTTCATATTCTGGACACGAATTACGAAATCACGCCCGCGCATTTCGTATTTATAAGCACAAAAATGAGTCAGTTATCCGAACAAACTGGGGAAACCGGTACAGGGGTGAGAGTGTCAACCCGAAATCATACGCACCTGCTATTCCTTGCATAAAAAGAATAATAACCTGCCCCTTACACATTGTTGGCCTACTTCGTATATGAAAAAGCTACGTTTTGCAACGCATGGGCCATGTTCATGTTGATTTTATGCACCTCCGGTTGACCTCTGAACATGGAGCGGCAGTGCGAAAAGACTAACGTATGTGCTTACGTATGGAACGCCAAATGTACCAATTTATAATGTACCTGGATGATGATGTCGTCAATCTATTTATGTGAACTTGTCAATCTGTTATGAGATGTTGTCAGTCCATGATTCAATGTTATCCATCCATAATGTGGTGGTGTCAAATTATTGTTTGATTTTGGCGATCTACTACGTGAAGTTCTCGAATATGCCGTAATGTCTGGAACGATCCAAACAATCACATATGAATCATTCATCAGAAAGTGAGAGTACCAAATTTTTAACTTTTACTGTTACTAGATTAAACCACGTAATATCGATAGGAGGCAGAAGATTGAAATTGGCACATTATGTATTTATGTATATATATATAGAGCGGCTGATCCCAGGAAAATATGCACTTTATGAAAAGGGTTTGGCCCGAGGATACAAATGACACAAAATTTCAAAACGGATCTCTGAAATAATTGCCATGATGTGTGTACATAGACTTGTTAGACGCACGTTCATTGAAACGTGAACGGAAGAGTGTTCCATTACTATGCACGAATTTTAAAGTAATCATGATGTAATATTGAATTTATCAAATTGAAAAATGTTTAGTTTTCTTACGTTTTTCCTGAAAATTCTGGCAACAGATGTGCCAAACCCAAATTCTTCAAAATGGGCTCCATCCTGGTAGTAGGCCTACATGCTGGCACGGCCACGTTTCGACCGCACCCACCGAAAACTATCATGGCGTGTACAGGGATAGCTCCACCAAAGGAGGGGCAGCGTAATACGGGTGATTCACAATCGTGCGCCTCCAAGAGTTTGTAACGCGTTGGCCAATCACGACACGCGAAATCTGTCTACCCAATGCGCATTTGGAAAGGGTCGACAGATTTTGTGCGTGGTGATTGGTAAACGCGTTACAAAATCTTGGAGGTGCACTATTGTGAATAGCCCGTATTCGTTAACGACACCACCGTAGATTCGCTACGTACACCGCGTCATTCAACAGGGACTATGTAAAGGGATCGCTCACCACGTAATGCATTGCTACACAAAAACTTGTCTGAACTATACACAATGTATATATAACGGTTTGACAAAGTGACGTAATGGATTGAAAACTCAACATAATAGATTGAAATCATATAGTTGATTAAGAGCATCACATAATGGATTTACAACGTCATTTAATAATGGATTGAGAACTAATACATTGACAACGTCACACCATGGATTGAAAACTTCACACAACAGATTGAAATCACATAATAAATTGACATCACCT